CCCCTCTGGTCCTGTTGCAGGCTGAGTTCCCTGGTCCCAGGGGCAGTTGATTGTGCCGGCTGTTTTATTAAGGAAGGTCCTTGGACTCTATATCTGGGAGCAGCCGGAGGATGGATTGGAGAGAGGGATATAAAGAGCTGCTGTGTTGTCCCAACTGCCTTGACCTATTTCACAGGGAGCACTGGAGCTAAAATGTCCCATCAGAGTTGTCCCATGTTAGGCCCAAAGGGCCAGGTTTCTCCCCACCTGGATCAGTTACCCTATACAGGCCACTGGAGGAAGGTGTGCCCTGGGGCACGGCTGCTGTGGCAGCAGAGAGATAGATGCAGAAAGGATTAGGTACAGAAGGCTGTTCGTAGCAGTTGGGACAAGGGAAATCCCAGCGGCACCTCAGCCGCCTCCTTGGTGATACTTCATTGGACTCTTATTTCAATAAAGTGCAAGGACGTGTAAACTACCTCGTAGAAACTCTTGTAACTCACAGACACTGTTTAGTGAATGAGGACAATATTTATTATCTGCATATTGAGTTAGGGCCTTTTGAATAACCCTGACTCCAAATCATCTCTCCTTTTTTGGGAGAGAAAGGGGATAACGCCATGTGAGTTAAAGTCTCAAATTGAGACTTTTGAAGTGTATTTAGATGAAGCTGTATATAAAAACCACAGACACATAAATTCAGAAATTTAAATTCAGGTCCCATTAACAGAAAACATACATCTTTAAAATCAATTCATTAATCATCCTGTGAACAGCACTATTATTACATTGTCTTTTGGTCTTCTTCCCTATAAACATTTAATATGAATAACTTTATCTATGACACTATTATGGAATTTCATCTTTTCCTTTTGATATTCAGGAATATTTAAGAAATGGCAACAGCTCATGCCTTTCTCTGCCCTTGAGAGTACTGGTGTCACCTGTTCAGGTGGGATGGGAGCCAAGGGGCAGATGGGCGACATCGTTGGGGACCTTGGACTTGTCCCTCAATTCTTTCTCTACTAGGTGCAGGTCTAGCCTCTGACCTGACAGTCATGCCCTCACCAGCCCTGAGGGAATGCCAACTAGGTCTGATGCCCAGGTGTCCTAGGGCCAGAAATGCATGGAGCATGCTCTATGCAGCTGAAATCTGAGAGGTGTCCAATCTTGAGTGGCCACTTCATGATTTTTCTTGAGGCTGGATAAGGAAGCAGGAGAAAAGACAAAATGGGAGCCCAATTCCTGCTTAGTCTCTGGCAGGTTGTGGGTACCTCTTCCTGCTAGGCCTGGAGCCAGCTAGCCTGGATCAGCGCTGGAACAAGTAGCACGTGGGCCCCAGCAAAAGACAGGCAGACCCTGGGATAGAATTGACATGCATGGGATAGGACCAGGTAGACCAAAAGTATGTTCTGGGAGGCTCAGACTTGGTTCTTTTTACAGAAAAGAGAAGAAAGTTGCTCAGGTGTCACTTGAACTGCATACCCAGGTGAGCAGTTGTGCAGATTTGGGGACTTGGGAGCCTTCTAGCACTCTGCACTCAGGTGTAGTGAGACCAGCAGATCTTTGGTTAGCTGGGCAGAGCCCAACTGGACTCAGAACTCAGAATAGATGCCTCGTTCCAAGTCACATGTCCTCTTTTACCTCCTGGAGGGTTCACCTCCACAGGTGGGGACTTGGCAGCAATCTCCAGGAATGGGAGCTTTGTAGTCCGTCCTAGCTAGGTCACAACCAGCGTGGTCTTGGCTGAGTTACCTGGGCAAGTCCAGATCCTGTACTGGATGGTGAATGACCATGTCAAGCCTAGCATAACCCTGCACTCACTGCCTTTAGGAAGTGAAGTTGTTGTTCTAGGAAGCAGCCTCCACACAAAAGCTCTGGACAGTCCTGGCAATAGCATCCCAGATGTGGGAGTTGCCAGTTCTGCAGAGGCCAGACTGGGGGAGCCCTAGCAGCAGTTGCTCCCCCTCCCAATCAGTAAAACTAAAGAGATCCAATGTCCACCCTGGAGCGCTACCTCTCTGGCCATTTCTGCCCCTTGCCTCCATTTCTCCTGCATTCTCCCTACTCTCTTCCCCAATATTCAGAGGTTTGACGAGGCTGTTTAGGTCAACAAACTTTATGGAATGTGCATTGTAATAACAATTAGGAAAACTGAAGTTCAGGAGGTTGCTTAAGGCCATCAACTAGTACTGAGCAGTTAAGGACTCTGGGTCTGAGGGAACTGAAAGCTTGAGTAAATAAATAGCAATGTTTAAGGTAAAACTGCTTGAGTTTTAGGGCAAGAGCTATTAATTCTGCACCGGGTGTCTTCTGAGCATATTCTGTGTCCCCAACTCAGAGTCTGGAAAGGAAAAGGGAGATCAAAAAGATGGATGATAAGATCCCTATTTTGAGAAAGACTAGCAATTATTCTCCATCAAAGGAGCTAAGACCATTTTATTGATTTTTTGTTTTGAAAACTTGGCCATATAATTACAGGAAATTAGTTTAAAAATTCCTTCCTAATTCCATCTCCTAATACAAAGTTTTTGTACTTTCTCTTAATTTTTATTAATATATAATTATTAATATATAGCTTTTATTTTTACACATGCTATATGAATAATTTTGTATATATTTTAAACTTTTTGGGGGGAAGCAGTGCAAGGTATGGAACCTAGGGCCTTGTGTATTCTGGGCAAGTGCTTTAAATTATACCTCCAGACTTCTCTTAACATATTTTAAAAACACACTTCCCTGACTCCTCAAAGACTTCATGGTTACATTTTCATGCTGCATACTATTCCCTCATATGGCCATACCATATTTAGCCATGTTTCTGTTTCTGGTTGAATCTGTTCCTTTTTTTTTTTTTTTTTTTTTGGTCATTATAAATAATGCAGCTATAAATATCTGCATACATATGTTTTTTTTTTCCTTCTTTTAAATTATATCCTTGGAATCAGTGCCTAGACAAGCAATGATTAGGTCAAAGGATTGGATATTTTATAGCTCTTGCTTTGTAGTCAGATTATAACAGAACATTTAACAACTAGGCATTGAGGATTCAGTCCTCACAGACATTTTTCTAACGTACTAGTGCTCTATAACCACATATAATATTGTATGAAATAAACACTATAGACAATATTGATCAGGTTCATGCTAGCAGGACACCTGGGGTGAATAACAGATAGTCCCTGCCCTTAGGGTCCCCCCCCCCACTAGGACACAAACCAATCAAGACTACTTTGGTCATTCCTCTTAAATCCCCAGGTTATTAAAAACACAAGTGAGTTTTCTCATCAACAGAATCATAATCTAAGGGGATGTATTTTTGGTGTTCATAAAAACAGATGACTGGTTAAAACTGTTCTTTTTACTGATTCAAGAAAGAATATCAAAAGGCTGGAGATGTAACTCAGTGGTGGTAGTGTGCTTGCCTAGTATGTGTGTGGCCCTGGGTTCAATCCCCAGCACCAAAATAAATAAATACAAATCAATCATCAATCAATCAATCATTCAGAATGTAAAGGGTTGAGAGGAATATTTATATATCTATTTAGATATGTAAATCTGTTTTGATTTCTAAAAGTGAGTAATTCATTCCCAAACACAAGCATTTGTGTTGTAACACAACCAGATAAGAAGAACCCTTTATGGTTAAGTCTCCTCAGAAGGAAGGCCAGGACCATAAGGGGACCAGACTTAACAAACTCATCACACATGTATGCAGGTGACAGAATGAATGGGTGCCAGGAAAATGGGCCCCAGAAGGGGTCAGTAGTCCTAAAGAGGGTCAGTGTATTACATCTATAAAGTACTATGTGCCAGGTACTATTGGAGGCACTGGGATACAGCAGTGATCAACATATACACAAATCCCTGCCCTCATAGAAGTAAGGCTTAGGGGTGTGGGTGGAACAAATAAAAAAGTAAAACACACCAGCCTGGGACAATACAAAGGAAATGTAACAGGGCATTCTAAGCAGACATTTTAAATGGCGATCAGAGATGCCCTCAGATGACATTTGAACAAAGCCTGGGGATGCTGGGAGGAGAATGTTCCATACTCACACCCTGAGGCAAGGCCCTGAGGGGAAGGCAGGCCAGTGTAGCCATCCAGGGGAGAACAGTAGGAGATGAGGTCAGAGGGAGTTGGGGCCAATCTGGAGGCGGCCCTATAGGCATTTTAAGTATTTGGGTTTTACTCAGAGTGAGGTGGAGAGGTAGGGGGACAGCATGAGACACAGTCTGATTTGTCCAGCGGGAGGTAATTGTGAATCTGGGTTAGGAAGCTCCCGGCAGGCCGACCCAGGCCTTGGTACTCAAGGTACTTGGTACTCCTTTCTGGGCACTTAGCAGTCCCAGACTTAGGTCTGAACTGTTGGGAAGGTCGGAGCTTAGGCCGAACTCCAGCCAGGTGAAAGGCCCATGTGATGGTCTCATTAGCATTAGAAAAGTTCCACACTGGCGTTCTTTAGCACCAGAGTCCGGGCAGTGCGGGGTCCTGGCAGTGGTCCACATCCATTCCGGACCAGCTGTGTATCCTCTGGCGAATGTTCTAACCTGAAGCAGACTCAGTTACTTCATCTGTAAAATGGAATTAAATGCCCTAGCTGCCTCATTGCATCCAATGAGATCACTCGAAAGCACCTTTTGAACATCTTTATCGTTTCCAAAAGGCCAACGTGAAAATGGAGGTGACTTTAGAGGACTGGCTTTACACAGCCCTTCTCAATTCATTTGGCAAAGCGGGTCGGCTGTCAGTACCCGCCTGCTTCTCACCTGGCGCTCGCCGCCGGGCGGGGAGCGGCGGTGCAGCCGAGTGTAGGGCGAGAGGAGGTGGTGCGGCGCTCCGGGGCGGGGCAGTTGAGAGCCGCGGCGCCCCCACCTGCCTCGGGCTTTGGCTGCGCGGCTCCAGGACCCGCTCTTCGGCAGCGAGCCGGGAAAGGAGCGGCCACGGGCCCGGCGGGAGGACGGGCGAGGGGCGGCGGCGTCGCGGCTGGCCGGAGCCGCCCCCGCCCTCGCTCCCGCCCTGTTCAGCCCGCCCGGCTCCCCGGCCCTCGCCGCGCGCTTTCTCCGACAGCTGCTTCGGGAGTCGCGTCCTGACCGTCTGTCCCCTGGGGTCATCGCCCGCCGCTGTCGCGCCATGACCACCCAGCAGATAGTCCTCCAGGGATCCGGACCCTGGGGCTTTCGCCTTGTGGGCGGCAAGGACTTTGAGCAGCCTCTCGCCATTTCCAGGGTAAGGGTAACTTGGGACGCGCGTGGGAGCGGGGCGCGCCGCGGAGAGGACCTGCGGAGGCGGGGGCCCCGCGGGCACTGTGGAGGACCGCGCGGGGTGCGTCCAGGTGCGCGGTGCGCTGAGAGCTTTGCTGCGCCCGCCGCCCCTTCGCGGTCTGCGAGCCCTGGAGCCCAGCGCAGTTTTCTTCCTTCGCCCCGGAAGCGCCGCGCGGCGTGTGGACGCGCTTTGTCCCCCCGCTTGGGGCTGAGGGTCTCCGCAGATCCCGCGTCCGGGGCGAGAGCTCTTTCCCGTGTTTCACAGTCGCAGAGTGGAGGAAAGCAGATTGGAAGCTACAGGAAAGTCCTGGAAAGTGAGGTGGAATGGAGGAAAGCCCACTGGAGAACGAGTGGGATTAATTTGCCACAAACAGAATCTTTTTCACTCTTTGGACTTGATCCGTGGCCGGGTCTCACCTCTCTAATGCCTTTTAGCGGAAAGGCGGGATTTTGGAAATAAACCCCAATAAACACTGTTTATTGTTCTTCTCTCCCATCTTTCTGCTTGGCATTCTCAGATTATCCAGGTGGTGAGTGGGTACGGGGGGGGCAGGGTCCTCACTTGGTGGGTGGTGGTGGTGGTGCTGCTGCTTGATAATTTAAGAGTAGCCGCATCCCTGGAAGGGTCCACGTTCCTGATTACCAGGCCCATGTCCCTTAAAGGAAGTGGAACCCCCAGGGAGATCCAGAGTCAGTGTTTGGACACTCAGGCTTTGGAGATGTAATCTGGGCCAAATTTAAGGTTGATGTCCTACAGAGAGTCGCCACGTTCAGTGCAGGCAGCCAAGCGGGTGTTGGGGTGGGCTCAATAAAATTCTGTTTGTTTCTTTTGGTTCTGGGGATTGAATTCTGGTGCTTTATCACTGAGCTACACCCCCAATCCATTTTTTTTTTTTTAAATTTTGATACAGAGCTTTGCTAAATTGCCCAGGCTGACATGGAATTTGTGATCTTCTTGCCTCAGCCTCCCAAGTAGTTGGGATTACAGGTGTGCCTCCTGAGCCTTACTAATAACTATCTCCTGGTTGAGAGAAAAAAAGAGCAGAAAAGCACTCCCTGTGGCCATGTTCCGCTTTGAGGCAGCACATTGCGTTCCCAGGCTATCTAAGTTGCTGAAACTGACCTTAAACTTGTCTCCCCCGTCTCCTAAATATCCCTCCTTTTTCTTTTGGAGGTGGAGGAAGGTGAAGTGGAAATAAAAGATCCTTGTGGGTCGGGTCTTTTTTTGACTTAAGACCCTGCCTCCAGTAACCAAAGGCATTTGGTGGGGAGTGCATGCAGGAGGAGAACTGGGGTCACCTCTTGGCTTCTCTGCCAGCCTCAAGCTTACCCGCACTTCCTTGTAGGTGAGCCTGACCCAGTGAAGAGATTCTTATCATCCTACTCTAAAAGGAGCAAGAAGCCAGTTTTAAGGCTGTACTTTCCAACTGCCTACCTGGTCCCACAGAGATCTCTTTGATTATTTTCAGAGGCACACACTGTCTTCCCAGTCTTTAGCTGCGTTCTTCAAGAACAGGAATTGTGCCCCAGGCCTGGCATAGAACTGATGTGCTCCATATAGCCTCACAGGCTTATTAATAAATGCCTGTCCCAGGAGGGCTTTGCCTCTGCACATTTAGACTCACTTACCTCATAGTCCATTTCTCCCTGCTCTTTGTATCTATAATTAACCTGTCAGCCTTCCCCACTTTTGAGATTTATATATGACATGATTCTTTTTTTTTTTTTTTAAAGTAGTGGAGCTTATATCGGCAATCTGTTAAAAGGGTGGGAGGGTCACAAATTTGAAACCAGCCCAGGCAACTTAGACCCTGTCTCAAAACAAAAAAGGGCAGGGTGTAGCTCAGTGGTAGGGTACATGCTTAGCTTGCTCAAGCCTTGGATTCAATCCTTAGCCCTGGGGGTATGGAGGAGGAGGGGAAACCTTAATAAAAATGAAAGTGGCACTGTGTAGGAATGATGGTATAGGGTGGAAAACATCACACTAAATTTATTGGTTTGTACCTTTATACGTTAAATATTTATTTATGGTATGAGCACACACCATATGCTAGAAACTCTGCAAACTCCTCAGAAATGAGAGGACACAGCTCTATTCTCAAGGTGTTCATGGTCTGGTGAGGGAAACTAATCTTGATAATGTCTCTCACTGGGGCTTTAATTGAAAAGTGAAAGTAACTCAGAGAAGGTGACGTTGTTATCAGTTATTTACTCTTCTCTTCATCTTATTTCCACATGGAGAAAATGTGAGCCTGGTCTCTTCTTAGGATGGGAAAGTCATTGTCATAAAGGGGCTATGGGTTGGTTATCTAAGTTCTTGTGCTGGTCTGGGGTCTGGTTCTTAGTGAGCTGTACCCAGGGTGAGCCTTTATCCAAGGCTACCTTCCCTGCATGGGGATAGGACCCTGCTTGGCTTCTAGGAGTTAAGGTATGCGAGAGTGCTCAGTAAATATGAGTAATGGTGAGAGGTGTGAGTGTTGACAAAGAGCTCTACAAATCTTCTGGTTGGTCACTGAGCTACTTTTATTATTCTGGGCAGATATAGTTTGGTAGTATGGTTTTATATATGTAGACTTGGAGTCTCCACACCAAAGCAAACTATAAAATGAGGCTGGGACAGGAGTACTTTTTTTTTTAAATAACTTTATTTGCTTTCTCTTGAATTCTGCTATTAGCTTTGTCTTTGTTAAACTGCTAAAGCTTCTGAAATAGATCTGTGATCCTATACATTTAAAATATTTTCTTTTTCTAATTTATTTTTTAATTGTGAAATAGAAAGTGATGAAATATAAATGCATCACAAATGATTATAAAGTGAACACCTGTCCTCACCCAGGTCAAGATATAGAACATTGGTAACACCCAGAGGCTCAGTAATATAGCCCTATCCTGACTTATGAAAATCATTCCCTTTCTGCATTTCTTCATAGTTTTACCACCTTAATAGAACTCCTGAATTTATTTTGCCTATTTTTATTTTGCCTATTCTTAACAGACTTAATAAAGAACACGTGTGTGTTTTTTTCTTGTGTGTGTGTGTGTGTATGGCTTCTTTTTGCATCTTAGTGTTTTCATCTATATTGTGAAAAACTTAAAATCACAATATAGATTTCCAGCTTTAAATGGACACGAACTGGCTTCTTTTAACTGGTGTCTCATTTACGGCTCCTGCCTTGGGCTCCCTATTGATCCAGCCATTTATTTGACACTGTTCCCTAAAATTATTATTTTTTGGGGGGGAATCAGTTCCTGCTCCAACCCTATAGTTTTCCATCTCCTTAATTCCCCGCCCCCATGTAATTTCTTATTTTCTTTAGTTGCTTTCAAGGGAAACCTTCAGAGAATCCACACCCAGGCCCAAATTGCTGCTCAGTTTATGTTGACTGTTTTTCTCTCCTAGCAACTGACAAAAGACAGGAAGAGGTGGGGCCAGAAATAAGGGGATGCTCTTAGTTAGAGGACTGGGCTCCTGAGTCTTGGGGAACCCTTTGCTAAGAGCCTGTGTTTTCATGGCAAGTGCTTGTGCTCTTTGAGGATCCCAAGGATGTTTAAGAATGGCTAGGTGTAGTCAGAAGGTCTTTTCTGATTTTTAAGTGTTATTTCCCGATTCAAGTAGATTTTACATCATATCCTAAAGGTTGAAAGAACAGGGATTATTATGTGTCAGGTTATGAAAAGCAAGAAGTGTCCACACACAAAAGAAAGCTCACTATGTATTAATGGCCCTTGTGCTGCACTCTCTCATTCTGTGAAATTGATCACTTGGGGGATATTAGATGATGCAGCTGATCACAGCTCACCTGAGGAGTGAGAAGAAAGGGGATCAATCTAAGAGGAAGGCACAGAAGTGAATGCTTGAGCCCACTGGCATGGAATTTAGCAAGCCATGTTAGAACCCGTTGACCAGATAGCCTCTGCTCCCCAACTTCCAGAACTCCAACCTTTCTGGTTCATTTTTGAGGAGAAGAGAGGGAAGAATGCCTTTTGAGTACTGTAGCTTGGCAGATGACTGAGAGGAGAGCGTCATCCAACCATGGGCTCATATTTTCCTGGGCTAGGGAAATTACGGGTTAGGTAATTTGTTTGAATTTGCATAATTTTCATCCACTGAACTACTTTTTAACTTCCTTGTTAAAAAAAAAAGCATAGTGAATAATTAAAAATGAACAAAAAGGGCCATGTCAGAAAAGTATTTTTTTTTTTTTTTTTGCAGTACCCAGGGCCTCATGCATGCTAGGCAAGTGCTCTGCTGCTGAGCTCTACCCTCAGCCCTTTTTATTTTTATTTTTGAGACTATAAGTTATCTAGTTTGGCTTCAAACTTGCAATCTTCCTGCCTCCGCCTCCTGAGTGGCTGGGATTTTAGGCATGCACCACCTTGCCCCTTTCAGAAAAATTAACTTTTAAAAGATGATTTGACTTCTAGTAGGTCTTGGGGAAAAGCCTAGAGAAAGCTACCAGGATGGTGTTCTGGTAACACATCCAAGACAGGAATATAAGCTAAGTTCTGGTCCTGGGTATCTCATTTGATGAAGGATCAAGTCTTGTGCCTTCTCTGGGTGTAATCCCCTATAAAGATAAAACAAAATGAGAAGCAAGCAAACTCAGTGGTTTTGTAGCTTTCAAATATGAGAGCCCACTCTTTAAAAAATTGTTAAAAGTGTCCCTACCTCTCATAATATTAGTTGTACCTTTATCCATGAGTTGACTGAGAAAAATGTATGAATTCAGGAACATTTTCAGATGAACTTATGTTTTGTTCATCACAAGAGCATCCACTGACACTGAAAAGACTTGTGTGAAAAATATTTGATCTGCTTCCAGAAATTATAGTTAAAACATGTATGGGAATTTTTATATGCCAAACACTATTCTAAGAGCTTAATATGTATATATTTTTTCAGTCATTGGTACCATTAAGACAGATCAGGAAACTTGAGGCATGGAAACATTAAGCACTTGGCCT